AGGCGCCCGGGACGGGACCTCTAGGGCACCGCGCCCGGGCGGCTCCCAGCGGGCATTGCCACTGCTGCCAATCCCAGAGCGCTGCAGGCGGCTGAGCTGAGGGATCCCGAGCAGCGACCCTGCCGGGGGATCCACCGTGAGCAGTAGCGCGTTGGTGCCCCCTCTTTCGGCGCGCAGCCGCCGAGAGAGCTTTAAGGGAGCGAGGAGCAGCTCAGGCAGCTGGATTCCCCCCACCCCGAGACCCGGCCTGCGTCCTCAGCAGGCTTCTGAGTCCCCCAACCTTGCTGTAGGAGCCTGTGAGCCTTGGCTACCAGCACGCCCAGGGTTTTGCTAGTGACTCTGTCTGGTTGTCTCGGGCATGGAGGGGATGGGGGACAGGGACAGGGTCTATTTTATCACTCAGGCTGAGTTTGGAGGCAGGTGTGAATGCAAAGGTAAGAGGAAAGAGTATCCTGCATGTGCACTGATCCCACCATGTGCTTAAACCAGAGAGCTGCAGGAGGCTGTCAGCATTTAAACTGAAAAGATTTAAAAAAAGGGATGGAGTCTCTCTCTGTGGGGGAGGCCGAATCCTGTCATCCTGACTCCAGGGAGAGTCTGCCTGAATAAACATCAGAGGGGCAGCCCCTGGGGTGATAAAAGCAACAGCCTGTACAATGTCCAAGTGGATCTCAGAATTTCCTTCCCTTACCGTTTTGCATAGTGCTGCCATTTTCTGCGATTTTAGAAAGTTCTTATTGTATCTGCTAGGGCTGTTTCAGCGCTACATTTCTAACAGGCACTCAGAGGAGACAGAAACAGCTAGGGGGAGCTGAGGCTGGGGAAGAGGAACCTTAAATAAATAAATAAATAAAACTCAACCAAACAAGGAGTCTAAAAACAAATGGCAATTTTGGCTTGAGAAAAATACAACCGTGGTTTCATGGCCTAAGATTAGCATTCGTTGTAATTTCATTCATTTTTACTACTGCCCAGTGGAAAGCCTGTGTTGCTGGCTGGGAAATAAATGAAATGAAATATGCAACCTAAGCCAGAGAAAAGGGATGGCCACAGCTCCTTGCAGGTTTTCCAGGCCTGAGTTTGGTGGAGAGATAGACAGGCTATTGCCAGTGCTGTGGTACTTGTTGCTAGAAGTTCCTAGCCCTCCTCCTCCAGAGCTTGCCCTGCACATGCAGAGACGCTGAAGAAGAGGAGACAAAAGTACCAAATGAGCTGGTCAAACATTTGTACAACTTTTCCAGCTTTTACAAAGAAGGCCTTCTATACACAATCTACACTTGGAGATGAACTTGGAAAACAAAGAGGGGAGAGTCCATTGAAACTCACACTTTAGCTTTGCACAGACAAAGCTTCAGCGAGCAGCAGCTTGATGTGAACAAAAGAAGGCAACCTTTTTATAATTCAAGGAGAAAAGAAGAGAAAACAGCCCCACAAAAGGCCGAGAAAAGACATTATGGGCTTGCAATGAGGGATGAATTATTCAATGAGCCCCAATAGCGATGCTCCAAGCAGTTTTATGGACTCTCCACCGTGGAAAAAGTGGCTATTTTCACCTACAAAATGTTTCTAGCATTTCTAGACGTCTAGAGATGCCGACTGCCATTCAAGAAGGACAACTGAAACCATTCTTTAAAACTATAGTATCCCCCTGTATTGTAAAAACAAAAACAAAACACAACCCCAAACTCAAGTTTCCAACTCAGTGTTATTAGGGCTTTCTGGGAAGCTACATCTTCAGTATGTGTGTGTATGTGTGCCTATAAAAATATACACACTGAAGAGAAAATGCTGCAAGTAGGCCAGAAGGAACTACTAATCTGACCTTCTTTATAAGAGAGGACACAGAATTTCACTCCGTAATTACTACAATTGAAGGAACTTGTATGTCGGAGAAGGGGATGGACTAGGGAAGCAATGGCTAAAATTAATGGCCAACCCTTAAAAAAAATCACTACTTTCTGGGGGCTAGCTTGTATTTTTGAGTGCCCACTTTGAGACATTTTCAAACGTTCTGTTTTCAGAAAGTGTCAAGTCCACACTTTTCAAAATCTTTAAAGTATCACAAGTTGAGCATCTATAAATGGAGTATGCAAATCACTAGTCATTTTAAAACACCTTGCCCAGTATGTCCAGACTATTTAATTGCCGAGTCACTGAGATTAAAAAGATACGATTGGAAACCTGGATAATATTTCTAATGTACTGAACAACAACTAAATGGATGGAAGTCACTATCAGACCAAAAAAGGACAAAAAATAAAAAATAAATTAAAAGAGAAAAAACAATCAAAATCTCCCAATCCTCAACTCCAACTTGAAAATACTCTTGGGGATCCTGTCTGCTGTTTAATGCTTGGATTCTAGTCCAAATGTTGACATAAGCTAAAATTTCAGTGATGCTAAGAAGCATTAATGTCATGAATCTTAAAAGAAACTCAGATTTTTCAGGAAAGGAAATATTCACTGAGAGCATTTTATCATCAATGTCAATATTCAATATTGGCAAAATAATTATTATTAGGTTTTTTTTTTTATAGGCTGCCCTGGTTTTGTGCAGGGTAGATAAAAATCAACAATTAAAAAAAAATCTGATTATTTAATTTAAATTATATTTTTTATTTAAGCATATTTTTATTTTTTGTTAAGATGCTTTTATGAATAATAACTTATATACAGATAGGTTTAATTTAAGATATGTTAAAGCTCAAAATATCATCATGGAATAGGGATTATAACATCTAATTATATACTATTTGAGACAACATATTCATGTAATCTTTTTAGAAAATGTATCAATAGGTCACAACAGGCCATGGACTATATTAGGGACCCAATCTTATGGGATTCCCAGAGGCTCCTCTATAGATTAGTAAAGATTAAAGAAAACCACTCTACCCAATGGGACTCAGTGTTCAGTCTAGAAAATCTCATTAAGCAACTCTGTGATGCTTAGTTTCAGTTCCCAAACTGTGGCTTTGTTTCTCCAGTGATCATAGTTCTTTGGGTAGATGTGATATCTTTTATTAGACCAACTAAATAGTTGGAAAATTGTTCTTTGCAAACTTTCCTGCACAAACGACTTCTTCAGGCATAGGGAGATTGTTGTCTACAGGGATAACATCCTTGTTATCAGCAGTATATGGAGATGAGAGGTAACAGATGTGATTACCCACCCATCAGCCCTATTGTTTCTCTGCAAGTTTGTGTACACATAGTCAAGCCCTTACCTTTCTCTAAAAGTGCAAGTTTCAAGAAGTTAAATGAATAAAGGATATCAAACAACAAGAATGTACTTTTTGTAGAAGACTGATTAAATCGAAGCTTTCTGTCCAGTGATTTAAATCACGATTTTAATCACAATTTAACTTGATTTGATTTAAATCAAATCCACCCTGGTTCTGTGTTGGTGTTGTATAACTCTTGAAAGATATTAATCCCTGAGCAACTTGAGATCCCATTGAAAAAAGTCCCATTTTTCCCTCTTAGGTGGATGGCAAATTTCCAGTTGTTTAAATAGTACGAGATGGGGCACAAAAAATCACCGGGAATATCAGGCTTTCAAAAACCGTCTCTTAATAGTAATTCCTGGTGAGGTTTAGTAGCAAGTGGATGCATCTACATGAGAGCTAGAAGCAGTAGACTAATTCTACAGCACATTAGCACAGCATGGCAAAAGCTGTCCTAATGTGCTAATACGCAGTAGTAGAATTAGTCTACTGTGCATTAGTGTCACCTAAAAAACGTATGCCGGCGCTACTGCAAAGTAGTGCTAATTACGGCTCATTAAGTTAGTACCTGTTATTACATGTACTAAATGGTGCATTAATGCAGGTGTAGATGTGCCCAGTAACTCTTTACAATAACTCCTTCTCTTCTGTCTTGTTAATATTCTCTGCCTAATATTAATACCAACATAGCTGACATGCCACAGCAAGAGAAAGAGGCTGCTCAAGAAGAACGAAATATAACAGAATATGACATATGAAAAACACTGTAGGATATATATTCAATTTCATATGTTTAGCCAGAAACAAAGTTCTGCTTTAACTGTCCTTGACATCAGAGAAGCTTGGATTTCATCCACAATCTGTATTTAAGGTTAAAAACATCAGATCAAATGCTGTTGTTTTTATTCAAACAAGGTCTGATCTTTCTCCCATTTAAGTAGTTGTGAAAGCTCCCAGTTACTTCAGTGCAGTAGTTTAAAAGTATCCTTGTTTTGTGGGCTTGTAAGCATCTCTGTCTTGAATCTGATGACTTTGGGGAAGATGATTAGGATTTGGCCTGACCCAGGACTATGGATACAGACATGGTGATGGGGTGGGTAGGTTTTATTGCAGTGAATTTAGGTGTGACGCTCAGAAGTTGTAAAACCACAAGTTTTTTATTCAGGTCACCCCGAAGAGTTGCAGATAAAACCGTTCTACTGCATCACATTATCACATAGGGTAGAGCATATACTTTATAGAAAATTTCTCTTAGAAATCTTTTCAGAGAGGCTTTATATATGCTACTGTCATTCATAGCCCTTGCTCTATAGAGCAAGGCTGCTTTAATCCTTTAAGTGCAGGCTCAGAAGGATAGAAAAAATATAAGGGATATACTTCAGAAACTTCTAAAACAACCTAAAAGAGGACTATACAAGCAAGTGATGCAACCTGCTGGAGAGTTAGACATTTTTCCTTTCTGAAAGGCATAACTCCTTCTATTAAATTATATCAAATATATCACTCATTACTGATCCTGGACTGAGTATTACCCATCTTGAATCTCAGACATGTATAATTTATGTTGGACAGAATTCATTGGAAGGAAAGAAACAACATTTTTGTTTTGTTTTTAATGGCAGCAATTTAAAATTGCCTAGAAATTGGTGATGTTAGTAGACCTAGCAGCACTGGATTAGTGGGAAGAATTTAGATGAAGTGGTCAAAAGTGTGGGATAAATAAAGTATATCATGGCTTTGGAATTTATCATTGAGATGTAAATATATATCTGTAATATTGTGATGGATTATATCTACATCTAGGTATATTTGTGCTTCTAGATGTATTAATATATTTTTAGAGTTTTCTGCATCTCTGAAAATACATATATCCACTTATAGCAATCTACATTGCTAGAGCTATATATTTTTCTTAATTTATCCCCAGATCATCCCCCTTATTGCTCCTGATACATGTTTAGAGAAAGGCTTAGCTTTAGAGGTTGGCATAGCCATTAATATATTATAGTGTGTGTGTGTTCATATTATAGTGTTCTAATAAATGCCTAACCCATAAATAAAGAGTACCAAAGAGAAACTTGTCTGTGCCTTTATATGGCACATCAGGGGATATTTTTAGAATGAATAATATATAAAAGGGAATTTCACATAACTTTTGAAGCTATATATTGCATGATATGTTTTTTAATCTGGTAGCTTCTCCAGTTCATAAGATGGCTGTTGTTTTCCTAGGGAAAGTTGGTGCTTTTTAATGATCAAAATGATGGGTATATAGAGCTCCTTCTCAAGGCTGGATCAGGAGCAGGTCTGCACTGGTTGAGGGTACTGTGCTGCTGCTGCGCTGAGTGACACCGCCTGCTCACTGCTTAAATGGGACCCTCTGTTCCCCAACTCAGTGGAATTGGCCTCAGGCATGGTCACAATGGATTCCTCCCCAGTCATGCGCACTGTTCCAAAAGAGCCCTACTCATCCCAACCCTCTACTTTTGGCTTCACTGAGAGAGCAATTCAGGCTACAGCAGACTAAATTGCCTTCTTTATTTCCTTCTTACTTTCATCTTGGACCAAACCCTCCCCTCCCACTTCTTTTTTGGCCTGAGGCTCACATTAGTGCAGTTTCTGCAACCACCCCTATTTTTGTGGGGGGAGTTTAAAGAAAAGAAAGATCTTAACACAAAAGCCCCGCTCAGTAACTAGAAAGCTCAGGCTGCTGCTGCTTCTATAGCTGTGCGATGCTTTTCCTGTTTGTGAGTTTTGGGAAACATTTTTGCTTTGTACTGTAATGGAATTAGAGGACAGATGCTGACTGTAAATGGGACACGCGACTACCAGCCTCTAGCTTAAATATTTAGATGCAATGTTACAATTACTGACTTGATACATGGACTTTGAAGTGGTTGCACATGATCTAAAGGGTAGCACAGGCTAGATAGGCTATCTGATGTTTTGATTTTGAGTGGTAGACATCCTTCAATAGATTATTTTTAGTCGGTTAAATTAATACAATTAATTTATCAAAGAGGAGGATTTATATACAGCAGACAAGTAGCAATTTGAACATCTCCATTTATTATGGAGACAGTGTGGTTCAGTGGTTAGAACATGGGACCAGAAGGACGCTGGTGAGTTTCTATTTGTGGATCTGTGACCTGGGGCAGATCAGCTATTTGCTTCAGTTTTCCCTATCCAGAAAGCTCAGAAAGTAATCCTTATCCACTTTTCTAAAATGTTTTCTGACCTACAGCTGAAAAGCACTCTACATATTTGCTCCAACTGTTCCCAATAAAGAATCATTTACACAATTAAGAAGACTGTGACTGCTGGCAATTATTTTCTTGAATGTGGAATTTCCCAATAGTACTTTAAATATTTTATCACTGGCAGCTTGAACGATTAAACTTGAGTAATTAACTTTGAGTTGCTGTACTTAAACAGTTGAAGCTGACAAGAAAATACAGATTCTTTTCTTGATTAAAAATTAGTAAACTGCTTTATTTAGCCCCTGGGAGATTATTTTTTAATAATATTATTTATTATTTGTATTTCAGCAGCATTAAGGAGCCCCCTCATAGTTTAAGATTCCATTGTGTGAGGCACTGTAAAAATACAGAAGAAAAGTCTAATCAAATTGCAGTCTAATCAAATGATAGGGCCTTACCTGTAGGGACTATATTATTCTCTGTTCTGTCCTGTTCGGTCCCTTGCATAGGGTTTTTAAACACTGTTTACAGATGCTGATAATGGACCAACAACTACATTAAAGCTTGATCATGAAGGGTCCTGAGTATTTTCAGAAATGGGCTGTGTGTCCTCAGCTTGAGAGTTGAGAGTGCTTCACACCTCCTAGGATCAGTCCCACAGATTACTTTCTTGAAGGTCAGATGAGCAGTAAACATTTTCAAAGAATGATAGCTATCCCAGTCATCGCAGGCCAATAGTGGAACATAAATAATGATACTATATATAAACCTAAAACAGGAGAGAAAATTATCTCCTTTTGAAATGGTCCTTGAAATAAAAACAAGTATATAATCTCCCTTTTTTAAATGAATATTTGATTAATTCTGATTTTAATTTACTTCAACACCTTAAAAACTAACTACCTTTAAAAGGACCTGATCATAATCAGAGGGAAGTCCTTTTGATATAACTGCCAGCTTGTCAGGATAAGTATGTTTAAAACAAGACTTATTTTTAAATTAGCAAATATTAGATAACAAATTTGTGTTTCAACTGATGCAGTAAAAATTATTATCCCAAGTCACCAAAAGAAGCTATTAACATTTTCATCAGTGTTGATTCCACTATAAATATTAATTAATATTGGACTAGACTTACATAGTACACATATTGAAGTCAATGCATATATTTCCATTGCCTTCAGTCGGGCCAGGATTTTCCACGTAAAATCTTAGGATATTGGATGTAAAATCCTGTGCTTCTGTGGGAAATGTGTAACGCTAAGGATTGGACTCTTTTTGAATCCAGCACCTGTGAAATATTCAGGTTTAGGACATCGTAAGGATTTACAGAATTGGATCCTACGGTCATATGTGAGTAACTGAACTGCCCCATTCAAAGATTCTACTCATGTGTAAAGTTATTCATGTGGCTTAGTGCTTGTTCTATTCTGTTAGTAGAAACTACAACTTTAAATTCAACTTCATAGAAAAAAATCTAAGTTGATGAAAATCTTAGATTGATTTAGCAATTGTAAATGATCATGTATGTTATATCTATTGAAATATATTATTTTTAATCTAATATTTGCAAGGAGAAGATTTATTTTTGTCTTAGGTGTACTTATCTATCAGAGCTGGCATAAGTGTTTGGAAGAGGGAAGCAAATAAAGTTGATTGTGATAAATTATCAACAGTCCCCAGGGCTACATAATAAAACTGCATTGGGAAATGAAGCAGAACTACAAAGTGCTCTCTGGTTAATTTAAGAAGAAATTGAGTGAAACACTAAGCAATAAATCAGACCAATCTAGTCCATGTGAATTTGTCTGTGTAAGTGTCACTTTAAATTCTAGGTAACAAACATGCATGAGCACTGAGAAAACAAAATAAATACAAGTTTTATATACTTCCAAGTTTCCTCCCAGAAGATAAGGAACTTTTGCTAAGAAAAGTGATGTACAGGAACATAACTCACCATGAGACTTTAGTGCAATGTGGTGCATAATTTTATTTAATTTGCCCTGAAGTACTGGTGCCCCATGCTGTTAAACTAATGCGGTTTCAATCACTGTTACAAGAGAAAAAGTGAAACAAAATGAAATTAAAAAAATCACTGTGGACTGTCATATGCTAGGAATATTTAGTTTGATGCAGTCTATGACAAACCATTTATTTATTCTGGTAAGTAGAGATTGAAGAACTCATAAGAATGTACATATATAACTAACAAGATAGCAAAAGGCAATTAAGCGGTCAGTTTAATGTCCTGTCTCACAGGTTGCTCTGCAGTTGTTTTACAACTAGGAATTAAAATTTGAAAAGGAAGTTTTCAGTGTCCCTGGCCAAATATTGATTAAGTAGTTGTTTGCTGATACTACTGTCACACATAAAAAGGCCAGTAGCTCTGCCCCTTGTTGTTCATCTTCTATTGTAACTGATTCTTAACCTCAGAGATCAAAGCAGGATCATTTCAATTTATCTGTCTTGGAAAATCCTTCTTTGCTTCTAAAACCTTATAGATTAATGACCAAACTGTCTTTCATGACGTGAAATTGAATGGATTCTGTATTTAACAATCTTGTCTATTTTCTGTTTATAGTTAAAAATATATTGGTATGAGTTTATATTTTTATTGTAAAAGCAATATAATTTTAGAGTGCAAAGCAAAAAGATATTAGTGATTGATTTTTAGTGAGATTAGTTTCATTTCACATAATCTTTCTTTTGGATAAGTTTTAAAGGAAAACAAAAGAGGGAAAGGTCTTTTTTTTGTCAAACTATGTGTAGACAAATGAGAACCCGATCCTAAAAGAGATCACAGTTTCTGCAGAAGGCAATGGGAGTTTATGAAATATATTGCTTTTCAGGATTGGGCCCTTAATGTTAAAACGGTGCGTTAATTTACGTACTGTTTTCAGTGAGAACGCATGTACTGTCCCTTCCCAAATCTATGCTGAAAAGTAAGCAGGATGTAGTCTTTGAGGATAAATGATTCCTAGTTGTATAACATATAGCTGTATTTATTATGGGAATAGTAAAATACATGCTGTCACATCCTTAACATAAAAAACACAACGTTGTATACAAGGTACGGTCTAGATGTGTTTTATTGGTTTAAAATTATGCTATAGAGTTTCAACTAAATTGCAGATTTTGAGATTCTTTAGATAAAAAGGTGGTGAGCATGGGCAAGCTAATCTCTTACCTTATTCTTATTGAAGTTATGTTGGTCATAACCTGTAGGTATTTGGGTGTGTTATTCACAGCTTCTCCACCATGGAAACATCATATTCAGTCAGTTAAACATAAGGCAGTGCAATCGGCGGTGGCTATAAAGAAATTTAATGAAACCACAGCAGGATGATCAGTCTAAGCTCCTATATTTGCATATAAAGCCAAAGTTACCTCTCAGATCTTATATGTTGCTGAAGTATGGGGTTATGCTGCTAGTAGTGGTGTAGACATACCTCAGAACAAGTTTCTTAGGGCTCTTCTGGCTCTTCCTCCCTCAACTCCTGCATCTTTTTTGAGATTAGAGACAGGAATGGATTATATTTTAACTAATATTATTATAATGGTGGGATTTTGGTTTAAAATCCTGCCCCTTTTACCATGTCATCTGATTAAATTATGCTACACAGAAGATATTAATAATTCCTCTCCTCTTCAATTACCCTGGTTAGCTTTTCTGTCCTATACTTTTGCACTTTCTGTGATGGGATACTATCTCAAAGATAATGAAAGATTTTTTTCTCCTATAGAAAAGGTTCAGGTTTTGCAGAGGATACGAGATATTGCCAGACAGAATGATTTTGCAGTGCCTAGGGCTATTCGTATTGCCCCTTTATATACCCTTTGGAAATTAGATTGTGGGGGAGAAAGGTATTTACAGCTGGATCTCAATAATAAGTGGCGATCCTCTTCGACTAGACTCAGGACCAAACAGATGTCCACAGCTGTTCTGGCTGGACATAGATTTTCCATTCCAAGGACTAAAAGATGTTGCCCAGTCTGTCTAGGACTTTTCGAAGATACTATCCACTATGTTTTAGAATGTTCTTTATATCATGACATAAGAAGAACCTATTTATTACCTTTCTTGAAGAAACTGATACATTTTTCAAATAGAGAGAAATTAATCTAGCTTTTACAGCAACAGATCCAAATTTAGTAAACCGCCTTGCAATTTTTGTTTATAAGGCAGAGGCGATTAGAGTTAAATATCCTTTATTACTGATATGAGTGATACATTTTAACATTAGATTTAATTTTATTGTCTTAATTGTGGATCTACGTACAACAATATTATAGGTTATTGTCTTGATTTACTATTATATTTATATTAATAATGTTTTTATGTTGGTGGGCTCTATTTTAGTATAATATTTGTAGTTTGGTTACTTTGTTTGAACTTATTTATATTATGGTCATATCTGTGTTATGTTGTTTTTGGGAGCATGGCATTTAGCCAGAATCCTTAATAAATTGGATTGAATTGAATTGAATTAAGGTTATGTAGGAGGAACTCAAGTGCTATAGTTAAGAGATATAGTATAACATTTTTAGATTTTTATTCACAGTATTACAAATACTTTTTTTTCTTATTTGCATACCTCTTGAGCTCTTTATGAACAGTTTGCAAACAACTGTTTTCTTCTGAAGACATTTTGCTTCAGTTTTATGGCTGTTAGTCAAAATATGGTCTAAAATTTCTTAAAAAGTCAGTATGCCTAAATTGTTCATTTTAGTGGATTGCTGCATGATAAAAACAGTGACACATTCTACCTTTTGTTTTTTTCATGAATTTTTATCTGAGAGTGAAATTTCTGCTAAACATGACCAATGCTTATTACCATTCATGAGTCCATATATGGATCTTCTCGTAAGGGTTTTTGTCACTGGGACGTTCAGATCCAAAAATGGCTATGTAGAATTTCTTTATCAGATATGTTGTCCCGTAGACCACTGTGATTTGCATGACATGAGAAATAAGCCATCTTTAGCTGACATTTCAGTTCCAAGCAACTTATTCAACATCAATCAAATTCCACTCACCGTACTCATGTGAGTAGGATTGCTCATGCCAACTGAAGCAGGACCTGGCCCTATGAGCCTAACCCAGAAAAACAACAACTGTTTCAGTTTTTCTAGCTCATTAGTAAATGACTTATTCTGCTTTATTAAAATGACCCTACACAATTAGATATGTAACTATGTAACACCAAATTCTAAATGTAACCAAATTAAACAAAACAGTTCTTCTTTCTCCTATCAGTATTACCACTATCCTCATCTTAAACACCCACATTGAGAAAAAAAGTTGGGATAAAATAAGAAGAATTTGCATGATATTCTTCAGACTCAGACTCTATTAGACTAAAGGAAGTGAAAAGTGATTCCATCACAGAAGGCCCTTTTGCTGAAAATGCCTTTCCAATAATTCCACCCTCTTCAAGGTTGCTTGAGCTTGTAGAACATAGTTGTTAAAAACAATCAAGTAGCAATAGCGTACTGATGGTTCTTAATAAAATACTTACCAACTGAATTGAATGAAAAAATATACTCATAAATTGACTATAATTTGTGCTTTTACTGATAAGTGGAAAACAAATTAAGCTGAGAGTTTCATCAAAGAAGGTTTTTCGCAGAAAAGAGAAGAGGCAAAATGTTCTCTGAACAAATGGCAAATATTTAGCTAAAGTAAATATGTGAAAAATTGTGGCTTGCTATTTTCGCACTTTCACTAAGAAACTAAGTGTTCATATCTCCTACATCAAATTTGTGAATTCTTGTGAACATTTGCAAATACCTCAGGGAACAGTTATGATCTCATTTACCCTAGTATAAATCAGAAGTAACTTCAGGAAAATCAGTGGAGTGATGATGGAGTAAATGAAACCCTCCAGCCTCTCCCTGTATGACTCCATTGTTTTGAATGACTGCTAACCTATTTGGGGCCTAATCCTGCAAACTTAATTCATTCAATTATTACTTATTAAAGTAGTTTTACTGAATTAGTAGGACTACTTGGTTGATTAGGAATTATTTACATGAGTAGACATGGTTCTTTGGGTAAATGTGATATCTTTTGGAAAAAATTGTTCTTTGCAAACATTCAGGCACAAATATCCTCAGGCATAGGGACAGTCTTACATAAGTAAGAATTTGCAAGAATTACTGAGTAGAGGGCTACTTTTTAAATATTCCATTAGAGGGTGCGCATTGTCTAACCAGTTATTCCACATGCTGTAATGGGTCACAGATTTTTTTTCAAGCCCTTCTTATTCTCTACTGCCTTGTTTGCCTGCTACTATCTACTGAATAAGAGTGAAAACCAAATTGCAGAGGGTATGGTAAACCCTCAAGACTCTCACGTCCTATATGAACTGGCTGTATATGGCAGCCATTTTATTTCTTTTCTTTACTTCGCTCTGTATACGTGTAACGATTCTGCAGGCCAAACGGTGCCCCCGTTTATCCGTACACAACCTCATGGTCTTCAGTGGGGTTCAGTGAATGTAACTGGGAATCAAATTTAGCCCTGCAACAAGAATTTAACATTTCTCTTGAGTTTGAGGGAAGTAGGATGGTAGCCAACTCATGTTCTTATAAATGTGTTAGTTTTGCAACGTTAACAAATTAAACGTAGTAAATATTTTAGTTAATAAAGCAAGCAGGTGTGACTAATTGCATGTAGGGAACAGATCTGATTAATAAAAAGTGCTACATGTACAGTCACTTTTTAGAAAAGAATTGTGCTTTTGAAAGCCTCTATGCAGGGTTTGATTCTGTCAAAAAGTCTTTGCAGCTGGTAACCCCTGGAAGCTCCTGAATCGGTGTAATATGTCAATGTCTGTAACGTCTGAGTAGCCCACAGTCCTGGGCTATCCAGGGGCAGAAGTCAGTCATGATTCTGAGGAGAGGAGTGCTCTTTCTTGAGGAGCAGTGTTTCCGCCCCCCTGCCCTCTTCCTAAACAGCAAAACAATTTTAATTTTGGAAAAGAAGTCAGAGAACATCTCTAAGATGTTCAAGGAATTTCCTAAATGGTGGATTTTTCTCCAGCAGTCTAAGAGGTAGGTAGCCAAGGAAAAACATTTAAAAAGACATTGGGTGGAGTAGTTGCACTCTTT